CATATGTTACTATCATGATTGTGCATAAAAAAACAATCGGTACAATTGAATAGGACAAAATGAGTTGTAAAACTATTTTTTAACCCTTCATTGCATGATTTTTTAAATTTTAGGTAAATACATTTTTTTTAACTAATTCGAGGAAGTAGAATTTTGAAAAAAATAATTTAAAAAATCTAAAATAAATATTTGTATTGAAAATTACAATATTTTAGCATGTTGCAAATATGCAACAGTATGCATTAAATAAAAAACATATATTTGTTTATTTATGACCATAACTTTTTAGTAACTCTTTACTTTATTTTTTATTATAAACTTAATATTAATATTCCTTAACTCTTAAGTTTTATAATACAATATATAGTATTTTATATATATATTATATTTATAATACAAAGCGATAAGAGTTGAAAATTGTACATTTTTTTCAAAAGGTTTACATTTAAAAGCACATCATACAAACGCAAGCATTCACGTTATATATATATATTAAGAAATAATGTAAAATACTTGTACCTATTATCCACATGGCTGCAATAACCGTACAAGACCCATAGACCGTCCGGATCCAAATCGACAGCGGCTGTCCGACGGTTACGTATAACCGTCGGACGGCCGCTGTCGATTTGGACAAAATTCTTACGAACGTTTTCAACAGCTAAGTAGGTACACGCGAAAAACACTTGATAATAATATGTAAACGGTCGCGACCAGGACTTACCACATTGTGTAATTATTTTCGGGGTAAAAAAAATACCAAGACACCCTTTACTACCACACGTCGGTGCTTATCGTCGTTTTGACGGGTCGCGATTTTTGAGTATTTCTTGTTTTGTGTTTTTAGCTACATTTTTACGGTTTTATTTGGCGAAAACGGGGTAAGCAAACACAACAGGCCGGCCGCGGCGGTACCTAGTACCTACTCGGTAATAATTATTGGGTACCTATGTGAAAATGACTTTGAAAAATAAAAACAATAATATATTCACTCGGATACTGTGATAACAAACAATTATATTATGATAATATTATTATATGGTCAATCAACAACAATAATAGCTTCTGTATATTTTGTCTAAAACAAAACGCGAGTCCTTCGACCGGCGTCACCGGCGTTCCAAAGCGTAGCCGTTTTTTGTCCAATATGGCAGCCACCGGCGCGCATTGATCAGTATTCAGCCGAAAAGTATGTGTGGGGTTTGCGTGTAAAACTACACACGCCGGTAGCCGCCATATTGGACGGAAAAAAACCGCTACGCTTTTCCAGTGTAGAATGTTACCATATACCTGGTTATAAGATGGTGACAGCCGTTGTCAGCATAGACCTATAAAGATATGGACTGCGCCTCTCACACACCCCGCCTATGCTGCCGCGTTATGAACAACGTTAGAAAGAGATAGATGGTTGTTAGGTTGACCATGGAATAAAAATTGAAAAGACATGGAATAATAATAATTTAAATATATATATGACAATACACCAAATGGAAATTTATAATAATTAAATCTTATTTAATTATTATTTATTATTGTGTTATGCGAAGTTGTAAAACATTTAAGGATATGTATTTCATTATTTTTGTCGGGTATCCAATGCTTTCGTATGATGTATTGTTTTAAATAGATATGTATATAGTATATCGTTAATAAATACTTAAAAACCATTACAATTTCATTCAATTTTTATCAATGAACATTCTGTTTTACTTTTTATAAAACGTGTATGTTTTGAAAAATAGTTTTTCTTTCCAAATTCAATAGACAATTTATTGTATCACAGATCTGCATCTAAGTTTAAACAAATTCACTAGGTATTGTAAAATCACTACTTATTTGTTTCTTTTTCAAGTTACGACCAATATAATATAATTATATGCAGCTGGCAAATAACAATGTAATGTCAGAGCAAAAGTACGTAACTCAGTAGAGTATGCACCAGACTCGTGATGAATTTGTCGCATAATTAAAGCAGTTTCTACAATAGGTAGACTCCTTTAAAAAAAAAAAAAAATATATATATATATATATATAAATTCTTTAGGGTATAATTTTACAAATAAACAAAAGTAAGAACTATACTGTAACCAAAAAAATTAATAGACATAACACAACAATTTTATTATTTTTATCACCAATAGTAAATTTTTTATTTAAAAAATATAAACATATAAACACAAAGCCCCAACATCATTTTGATTTCACTAAAAAATTCAAAGAAGTTATGCTATTCATACATTATTAAAACGAGTAAATAAATATTATATTTAGAAAAATGTTCTTCATCGCTAAATAAAATTGTATTACGAGTGAAACTGTTAACAATACACAACGGTCCATTTTGTTTTGTTCCTCAATGAAACTGTTCATAGATATTTAAATATATCTATAAAAGCCATGGATATGACATCACATTTTACTGAAAAATAACAAATTAATACACACAGTCATTGCAATAATGATAAAAATGTTTAAGATAGAATCAGTTTTAATATCAATGGTTCTTATTAGAAATATTTTAGGTGGATAAAAATTGACAATTAAGACGTACAATGAAATTTTTAAAAATTATTTTGTGAAGAACATATAAAATATAGAGTAGTTAACCATGTAGTGTAAAAAGATAAAGGAGGAGAATATTTTTTGTGATGAGCCATTAATATTACAGTAAAAGGATACGGATCAACGATACTTAAATTCATGATTGGATGTCAGGATTGCATAAAATCCAAGCCCTGTCTTTGGTAACAAATCCATAGAACATTGAACACTGAACATAACCTTATCAACCAAGCCATTTAACACATACAGCAATAACTATAAAAATTAAATCAAATTAATTTTTTTATACAAAAAATACGTTTTTTTAACATGTATTTGACATTATTATAATATATTTACCTTGAGTAATGAAAAACAATTTTCATTAACTTTCTTTTCATCTTTCAGATGATCAGATGTCAGATTTTTTAATATCTTCTTCATCCACTAAAATAAAAAAAACACATTAGAAGTGGCTTTATTTTGAGATTTATAAAAAATTAAAAACAAAATATTTTCTAAATTACTTGGCATTTATAGTAAATTTCTTCCTTCTTCATCATCAAAGACTTCGACCATTTCAACATTGAATAATTTCTTACATGCTTCTATAATATATTGTTTGAAATTAAATAATAAGTAAATAAGATAAGATAAGAAAAGTAAAATTTAATTAACAAATTACTCTAAAAAAATTACTTCCATAAAGGTACCTACTATCACATAACATTAACAAAATTTATATACAATATTATATTTATAAAAAAATACATAAATTTGGTAACAATTACAAGTATAAGGAAGAACATAGCCAGTTTAAATACACTTGGCACAGCTTCTTTTTTTAACATTTTTTTACCAGTAAAGCTCAAGTTATAGTCAGATTCTATAAAATGACTACTGCATATTTTTGTATGCGTCGCCGGAGTAAAATCTGGTTGAAACATATGTATCGCATTTGCCCATTTTAAAAGCATTTCATGATTTCTAGGCTAGCTTTGAAACAAATTATATTATTATTAAAATCATTGATTATATATTATTAGTATATTACTATTAGTAATATACCTATGATCAATATTCAAATGTATAAAAATATAATATAAGTAAATAATGTCTCAACTTACCGATGCATGATGCAATCTTTATTTGATTTTGTTTTGCACGAACGAATGACACATTGAAAAACCATTATAAGAAATTAAACGAAATTCAATATTTTAATTACTAACAAGAATAATTAAAATATTTTAATATAAAAATTTCGTTATCGGGTATTATCATATTACTATTTCTCCCATGACCAACCTAACAACTCTCTGTCTCTTTTTAACGATGTCGATATTCGGACCTCTCTCTCTACTATCAGTCCATTTCTTTATAGGTCTATGG